AATACATAATAATAAATAATATAATGATACATAATAATATAATAATATATAATAATAAATAATAATAATACAATTATCAATAATTACCAGTAATGCAGCATGTGAGTGGCGGATCCCTGAAGGAATCCGGAATACTGCTTGAATGTCAAGGGGGCATTCAGTCCGGGCATTGAAAGGACTCGATCCGACTCCTGAAAATTGTCACTGATTTCTAGAACTCTCCGCACTCAGTCGTATTACTTGAGGTCCACTAGTGAATAATTGAGAATTTTAGCAAGCCAAATTTCATTTCTGGGGTCATCAAAAGGGAAAAGCCGTAATTAAATCCGCACCTCATAAAAGTTTATAACATTCGATTGAAAGTGTATGTCATCGGCAATGTCACACCTCCCTTTGGTAGTTGAGCGTTTTCTGTTTTTTCCCGCCATTTAATTTGAAACCGAACAACAACGAACAAGTTCTCACCTTACGAGAGCAAGTTTGCGGAGCCACAGGAGTAGTAAGTACAGGCTTCGGAGTTGTATCGACCTGAAATAATCATCTTCAGTCAGGCCTTGCATTATGAAACCAGCATATTTGAGAAGTGGGTCTCACAAAGAATATCGGGTCACTGTAGTTTGCTTCGTTCGTGATGAAATTAACGAGCATTTGAAGTGCTTGAGCCGGACGATCCATCGGTACGAAATGACCAGAACCCTGAAATCCGACTTAAAATTGTACACACTGCGGTGAGGGTTAGGGGGCTGAAACTTAGTGCATATATTCATGGTTTGCTCTGCTGGATGGTGACCAGGTAAGGTTACCTAGTTTCATGTTTCTTTTATAGAATGCAAAACATGATCCGCTTTGGATTAGGCGAAGTCAGGGATTTCTGGACAAGAAGGAGCTTTTGCGCGAGAAATATACAGTGGGGCGCAGGTGCTTACCATATATCCCTTGCCATCAGAACTTAAAGGCAGCGATTACGATAAGGGAGCGCATCGGGGAAGCATATGCACCACACGAAGCAGTTACTTGGCTGCCAAGGAAGCGAGATGTGGCGCTTTCACGACGGAAGGTGCGCTGGTTGCTGAGCAGGACTTCGAAAGCACTCCGCCCCCAAAAGCGATCCGCCCACTAGTTTTAGTATGGTGAAACAGCTTCCCAGCAGCGGCAGCACTGAGCAACTTGATAGGAGTGTGGTTTGGTATGGTCTATACAAACGCGTGCGAATGACTCGTTCTACACGTCCGCTTTCTGAGCTGTCACCTTGCCATCGGAAAAACCACGCGCTAAAAAAGGGTCTCACTTGCGTTGTTGACGGATTTCTCCGTCTTTTTCCGCCGCCGACGTACCACCTCGCCTCCTCCGAGCCCTTCTTGAACCTACCGTAATCGCTGCTTTAGAAATCTAACGCACCAAGGATCTAGAATTCATCATATGCTCCGCCCACCACCATAGACCCCGCTTCCAGATCAATGCTTTATGCTTGCTGCTAGTGGAGAGCCATGCTTCGTCCCTTGTCGACGGTTCTTACCCTCTTTTTCATTGAGGTGTGTACTCTTACTTCTCACTGTCCAGAGAGTAAGAAACACATTAATCATTCGGTCTTAATTTTTGCAAGAAAGAATGCTCCGATACTCGTTCGCCAGCCCTCTGCGCTCTCGAGCTTTTCACCCCACACCACGCTAGGATTCCATAGAACGCTATGTGGGTCCCAAAGGCAAGAAAATCGCGATCCAGCCCTAGTAAAGATTAGCCCATGAATGCTACATCTCTAAATCCATGCGTTGCCCAGGGTTTATTCCCTGAAAATTTTTCGTCCACCGGAGACGAATGTCCATCTCTGTACCAGTTTGTAAAGAGCTCATTAGTTCCTCTATTGCATTAACAACTGGTAAGGCACAACTGCTGAATACGATACCTTTACAGTCAACTGCACCAAGTTCTGGTTCCATGCCTTTGCATAACCGGCGATGGTCGGGGCATACTGTGGGGCCGATTGATAGGTCCATTGCTGTCGATCGTATAGAACCTGAATATGTATCAAAACGATTTGGGATGTAAAAAATCCTGTAATCGTCTGCTTCCTGGTTGCCGCCCGCGAGACAGCTTCTGTATAATGGGATAACGCCCTTGTGCTATCTTCCAAGTCCTTCAAGAACCGTGACTTACCGTGAGATTCCGCTCAGCCACGAGGTTTTCGATGAACCACTGGTCTCCAAGGAATTGGCAGACGGTGTCCACGTCGCCGTTGTAGAACATCAGCCGCATATTGTTGGCTGTGTAATGTTTTGGAGTTCATGATGGAGTGAATCGTTGCCGACATGTCGTAATACTTCTCTTGCTGGTGATAGGCTATATTGCTAAAAAAAACTTTGGTTCCTGTAGCCATAGATGAAATCATTAAAGAGAAAATTATTTAAACTCTCCTGGGGATGCGCCATGCACTCAAGCTTCACTCAGAACTGTACACCAGCGCCTGAGCACCGCTCACGGCACCCATGATTTCATTCGGGGAGCGATAAAGGTAAGGCAAGGAGACATTCGAAAGATACAGTGCGGTACCGCGTAGCGTCGCCCACACCACGGTGAACTTTGACGTTGGGAAAGTCCCGAGAATCCTGGTTGGCTGATTACATCAGAAGACTAACCTCTGGTTCACACTCCCCACCGGATGTTTGAGGGGGAATTCGAAAGATAAAGCAAAACCACGGGACTATTTTTCATTCCCACAAAGCCTCTGAAAAAGGATCTGAAAGTAAGTTCTGAATCACGGGACCATTCCCCGCTCCCCACAGGATTTCTGAGCGGACAATTCGAAAGATGCTAAGAATCCCCATGGGACAGCTTTCAGCAGACATCGTTTGTACACGAGAAAAGATTTTGACTCTGCGTGACCCATTCTTAGTGATAGCAGCCTTGGAAGTTACGAACAGATCAAATGCGCATAATCATAATGCCCGTAGAATTGGAGAGATAGGAAGAGTTCAATCCAATGTACGAGTCAATTGAGCACCCATGTGCCAAATCAATCCATGTGCGACTCGAATGTGTGGCGCATCCCAAAAGAAGGTTGATCACCCCAAGCATTTAGTCATTAACGATAGTCACCTGCAGTCCGTCCAGTGTGATCGGCGAACCAGCTGTGCATGAATTGCCGACATTACGTCTGGACGATTCAGGTATGTCTGCATGCTGTCGTCATTGAAACAGGGGAAACCGTGGAAAGCATCGGTGGACCCATACCATGACTTATCCTAAAATTTCAAAAAGGTCGGGTTATTTTCTCAAATTACACTGGCTGGCTAGGTCGAAGCAGGCGCAATGTGGATCGGGTGGGGCAGTCCGTAACTAGTAGCAGGGTTGAGGGAGCGCTTGTTTCAGGACT